GAGCAGGAGGGAGAGGGGAGGGGGAAGAGAGAGAGAGAAACATCGATGTAAGAGGGTCACCCACACGACCCCAACCGGGGCAGGAACAAACTGCAACTGAGGTACATGCCCTTAGCGGGGACCAAACCTGGGACTCTCAGGTCCTCAGGCTGATGCTCTAACTGCTGAGCCAAACTGGCCAGGGCTCTTTTCTTTTTTTTAATCCTCACCCGAGGATATTTTTCTATTTATCTTCAGATAGAGTGGGAGGGAGAGAGAAAGAAACATCGATGTGAGAGGGACACATCATGGTTGGCTCCCGCATGACCCTAACCAGGGCCGGGGATGAACCGGAATCTATATATGTGCCCTTGGCCGGAATCACACCAGCAACTCGTTGGTCTACGGGCCAATGCTCTACCACTGAGCCAAACCAACCAGGGCAGAACCTATCCTTTTCTAAGCTTGTTTACTATTGATTCCTGTAGTTTTTTGTTTGTTTTGTTTTTGTTAATCCTCACCTGAGGATCTTTTCCCATTGAATCTTACATAGAATGGAAGGTAGGAAAAGAGGAAGGGAGGGAGTGAGAGAGGGAGAAACATCCATGTGACAGAGACACCTCAATTGGTTGTCTCCCTCACGACTCTGACCAGGCTGGGGATCGAACCCGAGACCCTTAGGTCCACCCACCAATGCTCCATCCTTTGAACCCAACTGGTCAGGGCTGATCCCTGTAGTGTTTTTAATCTAAGAAAGGACCTAAGCAATCATTTGTTCTACCTCTTACATATTCTAGATGAAGAAGCAGAGGTTTTGCATATTTTTCCTTAGGCTCTGTCTCCCAATAGAACAATACTTAAACTGTCCCAGGGTTATGTAGATATGCACCAGGGAGTCGAGTAATGTCTAAACAAAATCATCATCAAAATGGTCCATCCACTGTAGGGACTTAAAACTGATCCAGGTCCCTGGCTTCAAATTGACTAAAAAGGTAGTTGAAATGGGTCCATATATCATTGCTTTAAAATTTCCCACATAGAGGCAACATCAAGGTCCTCACTTTTAAAATAGTGTTTTGAAACCATCCAGGCCAAAGTATCCACTTTGATATCGTTTTTCATTTTTTTGTGCCTTGGTTGCCTATGTTGCAACTGTGTCCACATTCTAAAAAGCTGACTCTAAGCATCTAGACCCTGTGCGTTACAAACTGCTCAGTCTAGACGGAGCTGTAGACGACAGTTGTGAATAGATGTGCTCATTGGTCGGGACATCTGGAACCAGCACTTTGTGATGACGGAGCTGCAGTGCCTTTTCATTCAGAGGAGGGGTCAGGGAGCCCAGTCGGCTCCCACAGAGCCCTTCTTGTATTCATGGGCAGGGATTTCAGGGCCAGGAAGGAGCTGGAATGAGTCTTCCCAATCCACCCACCTCAGGTGTGAGAAGCCCATTTGCTGGGGCTGGAAAGTCATCACCTACACTGTCACTTGCTCCTGTTTGAGCCACTGGACATCCCTGTTGTCAACCCAAGTCACCCATCCTCCACCCGTGATCACAACAATCACAACGTATACCTGATAGGGATCCCTGCCTTCCTCCCTGACCCGCACACAATGTTGTCGTACAGCCCAGGACAAGGAGCAGCCTCTACCTGCAGCTCCTGTGCGCTCAGGCTTATGTGCAATCTCCTAATAAATCTAAACCGTTCCAGTGGGACCCGGTACTTGGTCCACCAACAGCGTGGGGGACAGTGGCTCTGTCCAGCAGTTCGTGCATCTTTCAGAAAAGCAACATTAGAGATTTCTCTCCATGACATGAAAGATAACCTTGGACTGGAAAAGGGCGGGAGGGGGAATATTGATTTAATAAATCCTCAGTTGTAGGATTCTGACAGGTGGTCGAAGGCAAAGGCACCTCTTTTCCATAGTCACTAGAGGTCAGGAAGGGTACTTTCTTAGTAAGTACTGTAAGCAAACACACCTTCTCAGTAAGTGCTGTAGGGAAGGGCTCTTTCTCCGGGCAAGGCGACTCAGCCCTGGCCAGCTCGGTGCTGGGAGAGGCTTTTCCTTTTGGGTTCTGCGAGACGTCGGGGCAGAACGCGGCTGACTGGTCTTCAGATACGGAGCCAGAGGCGTCTCGGGACGGTGAAAGCAGAGGAAAAGAAATAGGCAGTCACAGAGCCCATCGCAGTCGTCTGTTCACAGGCTCGTTGCCTGAGAGTGTGTCCCCGCCAGCACTTCCCTTCCTCTCGCTTCTGATGGTGCGAAGTGAGAAGCCAGGAGCATTCCCAGGGTGGGGGCCGGAGGCCATGAACCCGCAGCCCACAGCGAGAACAGGAGAGCAGTTTCCGCGTCATTTATAGTACTTCCCTGACGTCGAGGAAGGGGAAGGAGAGAATTTAGACTAATACCCTGAACTAAAAATGGGCCATAAAGGTGAGGTCATTTCTTTCCTTCCTTGTTTTTCACATGAGTAGCCACTGAGAACAGAATTGGCTTTCAGTCTCCTCTGTAACCAGGGACAGGACTGAAATGAATAAATGAACCTCACAAAGAATCCCCACAGCTCATTCTTACCCATTAGCTTCAACCTCTTCCCTTCACTAATCTTCCATCCCAGCTCCTGACGAGGAGAAAAATGAGCTGACAGAAGCATAAATGACCTTGAGCCCAGACGTGTCCTCTGCTGGCGGCGTGAAGACACAGGAAGGAGGCCAGAGGTTCAGAGGGACATGCAAGAGACTAGACGGGGTTGCACAGGGCAAAGGCTCTGCCTGCATGCGGGGGCTTCTTCACACAGAGGGGCAAAGACTCTTCAGAGGGGAGAGCTGGACAGGAGAATCCAATAATCCTACAGAAGGGGGTGCTGAAAGTCTAAGAGGTTAGGGTCATGGCAGGTGGGGCAAGACTTTCCCTCTGCGCTCTTACAGTCTCTGGCGGGGCCTGAGAATTAAGTTGACCTAAGACAGATTAACAGGAGAGAAGCATACACATTTTACTATTACAGATATATGGGCGCCAGTAACTAAACTATATGGGAGGCTAAAGGAAGATAAGGGTCATTTTATAAGGTTTGTTTGTACTGATTTATCTCAGCCCATTTTCCCCTTCTCTGGTGATAAAGATGTTTCTCTCCTCCTCCTACAGAGAGCACATCTTTCACATGGCAGTTTTGTCTCTCGCTTGAAGGAAGAAAGGGGGCAGTCAGAACAATCCTCTATCAAAGTGGTGGGCTTTGGGCATAGTCTGCTACCCTTCATCATCCAGCTGATTAGTAGCAAAACGAGAACTAGAAGCTGGCCCTCCTCACTCGTCTGCGGGTCTGTGGCTACATCTATTTCTGCCTTGTGTCACTCTGAGCTAGTATCTCCCGCATATCTGCGCAGCCCTGGGCCCTGTGCAAGGCCTCTGGGTTTACTGATGTATCAACGTTGCCATTCCGATTTTGTGGACAGTGAGGGTCAGAGAGGCCCAGTAGATTAGCAAATGGCACTTTCATGTGCTTCAGCCTAAAACCATGCCCTAGGTAACACTGCAATTTTGATCAGGAGTCAGAAACCTCGATCCAGAAAGACTGATTTTCTCATGGCCGCTCAGTGGAGCTGACTCTGCACCCCTCCCCCCTCCCCCGTGTAGCTGCTGTGACACGTGGGATACGCTCTAGGGAATAGCTTCCCCTCGGCTCTGCTCACCTAGATGCTGGGGGGGGGGGTGCTCCTGAAATAAGCCTTGTAGGACAGAGAAGACTAAAGACAGGACATTTTATACTTTAAACTGAACCTTTCAAAAAATGTACCAACCTCTCTGGGACCACCTTGGATGGGCTTTTGTGATGCCTCCCAGGGCTACTTGCTTCTCTTAGATGCTGCTGAGACCTACAGGTAATGTTAATACGGAAAACTCTAAAGTGATCTAACCTTGGTCCACTTTTTCATCAAAATCATCTCATCCTCATCTTGTTCATGGTCCTGCTGCAGGTAAAGACACAGCACCCAGCTTCAGAGGAGCAAGGTTCTGGATTTATTTGGACTGACTGGGGAATATCCTTTAGAAAGAAGATTCTAAAAAGTGATTCCAAATGTGACCTGCTGACTTCCCCTCTCATGGTGCCTCAGGCCAATGGGATAGGAGAGGCCTGGTCTTAGAGGCTGTTGTTAGCCCAAACCAAATGTGAATCCTGGTCATGACGAAGCATCGGGCACCCTTGGGAGAACATTCTCTACACACGCTTAAGTATCTGGTCAAGAACACCAACAAGTTCATAATCATTTATTGTAACTCACTCAGAGTTTATACACTTTTAATGGCAAAATAACACTGTTAAACACCTGCTGGATGAAGAACTTCATTATGACAATCTCCTATTGGCATCACTTCTTTTTCAGAAATTAAAAAATTTAATTTTAAATCCTACATCCTTCCTAAAAAGATCCATCTTCGAAGGGCTCCAGTGCCAACACCCAAGCCGTTCTTTCGCTCCACCATCTAACACAAAGGGCGCGCTGTCCCGTTAATTCAACATGCTCTTTACAAGGCAACGTAATACACAAAAATCGTTAATCCAAAAGATACATAATGATCACTTTATATTTTACTGCAAAATCAATGAAGGCCGCATGCAGGTGAAGCATTAATAGACACTGAGTTCAAGATAACTGTTGGTTGTTAAAATCGGAAGGCCTGGTGTGGAAAATTAATATGCTTATTTAGCAGAAGCAGCCAAAGTACATGCATCAGTGGCTGGGATCAACTGGAATACAAATTAGATATCTAAACATTGAAATGAGAGCTTAATTTGAGCTTAATTTGATGTCTGGCATGTCTGAGTTATACACCTTTGAAATGACAATAGCAAAGAGAACAAAATCAAACACCTAAACAGGCATTGATTTATGGGTCGGCTGGGCATACAGCTCGGGATACAAAACTAGCTGAGCCGTGAACAGATCTCTTTGGAAGCAAAGATAGTGGTGCATCAACAAACTGTAAAAGGGGGGGGGGGGGGTAAGAGAGCCATCTCCTGTAGTCTTTATTTTTTAAAAATGTTCAATTCTCTAAGTTAAAAAACAACGAAAACACACAATGATTACAAAACAAAAACTTTCTTCAGTTACTACTTAGACCCCCTCTTTCGCCTGCTACCCTGCGTCTCTGTTCCTTCAGCTAGTGTGTTTAAAAACAATGCCGGGGTAGTTATAGAAAAGAAAACGCTCTCCTGAATCACACTGAAGAATATGCAATTCCTTCATCCTGTCAGGGTTAACGTTAGGTACAAGCACAGGACAATGTATGTTTGACATGTTGTAGCTACAGAGAATAAATCACATGTCCACGATCTAATGTTAAATCATGATTACATTGACTTAAATTTTTTTTTCATTGATAGCTGGATCTTGACTTTGAGACAAAGTCAAAAAATTCCTAAACCACATAGATTCCACTCCCTCCCACCCTCTGCCCTCTCCCATGATCCAATGAGCAAGAGAACTATAGTGACAGAAGGCATGAACCAATGCGTCAACGATGGACGTGTCGGGGGGCGGCCCCAGGCTCAAGCGCTGCCATCTCCAGTCCTGGCTTTCCGGGCCTCGATCATTGGCTTGGTGGCCCGTTTGCGGTCAGTTGCCAGCCCCAGCCAGCACATGATGTCAATGAACCAGGTGGTTGGGTTGAAATTTAAGCCAAATTCACTTGCAGAGTAGTCAAAGGGAAAGGTGTGGTGGTAATTGTGGAAGCCTTCACCTGGAAGACAAAATGAGCCTTGAAATAAACCACTCATCACCTCTCTGCACAGCTTTTTTAAGTCACTCACTGACTGAGGGTCTACCATGGGCAAGACACTGTGCCAGGCTCCTTAGACAGCAAAAGACTTGGTTCCTGCCCTTAGGAAGCTTTATTTAGTTGGCTAGAAAAATTAACGTAAACAAAATAACAATAAAGTTATCAGCATAAAGTCACAAGATAATTGTCCTCTATGAATGGAGACATGCAACCATGACTTCAGAGCTGTACTTCTGAAGCTAAATGCTAAATAGCTGGCAACAGATCATCATTTTGATGTATATTCATAAAAGGAAAATAGCCTCTGTGGACCGGAGTGATTGGAGCAAGACCTTGGGAGAGCTTGGAACAAATATGAGAACCATTCAAATAGGTAAGTAAATCACAGAGTTGGTTCGTTAAGTATCCAAAATCTGCCTATATATTATTCCATCCCTCCCAGGGAGTAGCTTTTTCTCCTTTTTGTTGAAGTGTTTTCAGGAGGGATAGAGGTACCTCAGAGCTTCTTTCATTTGACTTTTTAAAATAGCTTCATTGAGATATAACTCATCATAGAATTTATCCATTTAAAGTATACAATGTAATGGTTTATAGAACATTCAGAGGTGTGCATCCATCACCACAATGAGTTATAATATTTTCATTAGCTAAAAGGAAACCCTAAAGCCTGCAGCTGTCACCTCCAACCACCCCCACCCCTACTTTCTGTCTCTGTGGTGGTTAATTTTGTGTGTCAACCCGATGGGCCAAGGGATGGCCATTAAACATTATCCTAGGTGTGTCTGTGGGAGTGTTTCTGGATGAGATTGACATTTGAATTACTGGACTCAGTAGAGTAGATCACTTTCCCCAATGCAGGTGGGTTTCATCCAACCCATGAAGGGCCTGAATAGAACAAATGGTGGAGGAGGAAGGAATTTGCCCCGTTTTTCCTGACTCACTGATTGAACTGAAACATCTCTCATCTCCTGCCCTTGGGTTGGAATTTACACCATTGGTTCCCTTGGTTTTCAGGTCTTGGTACTTAATTAGACCACTGGCTGTCCTGGGTCTCCAGCTTATGAGCTTCTTGGCCTCCACAATACTGTGAGCTAAATCCTCATAATAAATCAATCAATCTTTCTGTCTATCTATGTATATAAACCATAGAATATATCTATGTTCATATACATATTTTACTGTTTCTATATATAGGGAAATTTATTATGAGGACTATCACACACACACACACACACACACACACACACACACACACACACACAGTTTCTGTTTCTCCGGAGAACCCTGACTAATACAATCTCTATACATTTGCCTATTCTGAACATTTCATACAAATGAAATCCTACAATATGTAATCCTACGAGACTGGATTCTTTCACTTAGCATAATGTTTTCAAGGTGTGGCAGGTATCCACATTTCAATTCTTTTTACAGAGATATACCACTCACTGAGCCACTGTATTTATACAGTTGTATTTATCCATTCATCAGTTGATGGACAGTTGGATTATTTCCATTTTTTAGCCATTACAAATAATGTTGAGTATTCATATACAAGTTTTTGTGCACACATATGTTTTCATTTCTCTTAGGTATAAATCTAGGACTAGAGTTGCTGGGTTATATAGTAACTGTTTTTAACCATTTGAAGAGCTGCCAGATTCTTCCTTCACTCAAGGGGCTATGGGCATCATACAGTTCCTCTGTCGACCACATTTGAAGGGTTCTGCTCCTCAGTGAGTACGTCAGGTGGACTGTCTGCGGGCTGCAGTTCTGTTAACTTAGGTCTTCTTTACTCTGCCCCTCCACCTTGGTCATTTTTAGTTTTTTCCTGGACTAGGGTACAGTATAGAGACGTCCCCCTCCCCCGTTTTCAGAAACAGTCACTGGTCCGTACAACTGGGTATAACAAGAGCCTTCCAAGGACCTTTATGAAGAAAATTGACTGGAAGCCCGGTGTGGACCTGGGGAGACCTAAAACCAACACCCAGCTTCTCAGGGCGCATGCCGTGGCCGCATCCTTGGGTTTCCTGGACCACCTTCTCTATATGAAATGGTTAAGTCTCTCTTGTCCCCACTCATGTCTGCTCTTGGGGTCGGTGTTAGCGTGGCTCCCGATCACAGGCCTTCTAGAAGATGAAGGCTGACAGGAGGAGAAAGCAATAGGAGGGCCAGGAGACTCTCCTGTGTTCCAAGGCGCTTCTCTCTGCTTATCCGGCCACCCCACAGCTACATTCGGTGCTCATTCCACCTTACATTGCTCTTGTCAATGAAAGGGTATTAAACGGAAAACCCTAACAACGAGGGGGTAGGAACTCCTCACTGGGTGATGCAAAGATCATTTCTGTCCAACAGTAGGAAGTTCTCTTCCTGGGTTTGAGCTTTGTGCTCAAGGCTCTGCTTACCAAGGAGCCTGACTGCTTCTATAAACTAAAGCTATAGTTAATATTTATTCATCACCTACTGTGTGCCAGCCACAGTGCTAAGTGCTTTAAGAGGATGAACTCCTGTAATCCTCACCCCTCTGAGCTATGTTAATCTCTATTTTAAGTAAAGATGTAAAGGCATAGAAGGAACAAGTAAGTTGCCTAAGACCATATGGTTAGTAATAAAAACATCACTGGAAGTTCATTTTGTGCTAAGTACTGCAAATGCTATGTATTAATTTATCTAACCCTCCAACAACCCCAGGAGGAGGTAAATGCTACTATTATCCCCACCTGATAGATGAGAACATGAGGTGGGGGGGGGCCAGCTAGCTTGCCCAGACAGCAAGTGAAGGAACCAGGGCTCCGCCAAACTTGTTGGACCCCAGAAGCCTCGCTCTTAACCATTTTGTGGTACCATGAGATGCCACGATCTCATTTCTTCCCATCTCCTTCTTTGAAGGCTGTTTGCTATGGTCAGCCAAAGGATGGGACAGCTGGGGCTGGAGGGGTCTGGGCAGCTGAGGGAAAAGCCCACTGCTACTCTCCTGTAGGTACATTTCCACGGCAAAAATAAATAGCTACTAATTACTGATCACCTGCTATGTGCCAGGTACTGTACCAAGCAATTTACATAGACAAGTATCTCAGTTAATCCTTGCAACATTCTAGAGAGAAGACATTGCTATTCCCGTTTCACAGGTAAGACGATACATCAGAGGTTGAGGTGACTTGTCCCTGAGCCAGGATTCTAACGCCAAAGGCCCGAGTTCATTCCGCTCCACTCCACTGCCTCTCTTTGCAGAGTCCACACACTAAAAATCAAGCTGCCATTGTCCCCCTTGGCTCTCGCACCCCTACTCACCAATGGCGCCCAGCGTGACCAGAGGGTTCTGCCGAGGGCTGATGTGCTTGTCGTAGGGCCGGTTCCCATACATGTGGGCGGCGCTGTTGACCAGCCAGGTGACGTTGAGTGAGATGGCGTAGCGCAGGACGGAGGCCAGGAAGTAGGAGTTCCACAGACTCTCTCCCCAGAGACACCAAGGCACCAGCGTGGGGACCACGAAGCACATGAGCACCACGGAGATCTTATAGTACCTGGAAGGCAGGTATTGTGCTGTCAGTGGTGCCTGCTGAGGGTGCGGGGGAAATGCTGAGCAAGCTATAGGAAGTCAGCAACTGTGCTGGTCAGCAACGCCCACCCTTTGTGTCTGAGGAGTGCCCTGTTGTGTGCCACTCTGTGCAGGGCCGCAGACACAGATGCTCCAAGGTCTAGCCCGTAACACGAATTTGAGAATTAGGACAAGTAGAGTGCCCTTGGGAGTGGTCGGGCCTGTAGCATATTTCAAGGGAATTTCAATGTAGAATGATGAACGCTGTGCTGGTGAAGCCCACCTGTCTTAGAGCTGCACTGGCCCTATAGCCACCAGTTTGACAGCTCCTAGCCAGTCCTCCTATCAGCCAATCAACCTGATAATCAGGCTTTCTCGAATAGTTTCCAGAAGTATTCAGCCTGGCCGGTGTGGTTTGGTTGGTTGGAGTATTGTCCTGAACACTGAAGGGTCACGGGTTCAATTCCCAGTCAGGGCACTTACCCATGTTGTGGGTTCGATCCCTGGTTGGGGTGTGTACATGAGGCAACCGATCAATGTTTCTCTCTCTCTCCCTCTCTCTTCCTCTCTCTCAAATCGATGGGGGGAAGAAAGAAATATTCAGTATATCTGGAATAATTCTCAGGCACGTGATTCTGTGCTAACTTAGCTTGGTAAAAAAGGAAATAACCCTCTCCCCAAAATGTTCTCTGTCCATTAAAGATTACATCCCAAACCAGCATTAAAAATAAACATTAAGTATAGGAACAGGCATGGCCACAAAAAAGTAATCTTTAAAAGGAAACCATCAATAGTTTGATTTCTGCAAACATTTACTGAGCACCTACTATAAGCCAGGCCCTGAGTGCTGGTGACACAAAAACAAACTCAACACAATCCCTGGTGCAGGCTTCAGTCCAGTGGAACCACTGTGCCTGTCCTCCGGCCATGTAGGAGCAGCCCTGTGCGGGGCCGGAGAGGGGCTCTGGCAGGAAAGTGTCTAAAGCCCCCTGTTCACAGCAGTTCCCTCTCCGGCCTCCACCGGCTGGTCAAGCTTCTGGCCGCTGTTAGGAAGCATGTGGATCAGTCTGGGGGTGGCACGAAGTGAGATGCAGCAGGTGGAAGGCTTTGACTTGCATCCAGATTTGATTCTGGGTGTTGAACAGGCCTCTTTTTATCCTTTCACGCTCCTTTTGTGCACAGTTGGATGGTTCCCCGAACACAGGGCGTGAGGCGAGGGCTGTATGTGGGTATTATGTTTGGGGACGTGAGCTCACACTACAGGAGTGGGCACCTGGGAAGAATGGGATGAGGAAGGAGGAAGCCAAGCCCAGGGTGCCCACTGCTGCGGGCAACTGAAGTTGGACCTTGAGGGGCAGGTTCTGTTCTCTCAGGGCATAAAAAAGGGACTACAGGGATGCCCCACGGGGGATGTTGGCTCCCTCACACTTCCAGGCTTGCTTGGGTCAGAATGGCTGCGTGTGCTCCTCAGACACCTCGGGCACAGGTGGCAAAGAAGCTGGAGCAAGAGGGAAGGAATAAGCGGGACACAGCAGCAGCCAGGAGCTGCCAGACTGCGGACACATGGTGAACTGCTCGCTGTAAACCGTCAACCCACCCACTCCCCACAGGCCCTGTCTTTTCTCCTCCAGCACTGTGTATCCAAGCGCCCTAATCGGATGCATTTGCCATCTCTCCATTAGGGGATGACTGACGGCTCTGTGACATGCTGTAACCAGACAGTCGGGGGGACGGAGGTCCTAAGATCTGCTCTCAGGCGAGAAGGACGAGCGCACAGTGGACCACTGCAGCCTGGTCAGGGGCCGGCTCTGTGCCCAGGAGGGACAGCTGCGCTCCACGGAGACTGAGCCTCACACCGCCTGAGTTTTCCGTTAGTGGCCAACCTTTATCAGAGCTGTTAATAAGTTAGAGGTTCTTCCCCCGAGACCCAGAAAGAAAAGGAGAGCTTTTTGTAACGTTTCTGGTTTGAGGATTTGGGGTTTTTGTTTGTTTTTTCCTCTTCAGTATCTATTCATTAAAAAACTAGCTGTTGGCTAAAATTTATTACAGTAGATGCATGTGGAGAATAAATAAGAACAAAATATGCAGATGCTTGTTCATATAATTTTTCCCACTCCACTTTTTAAAAGTAAAATGTTAAGCTACTACAGAAGAAGAAGAAGAAGAAGAAGAAGAAGAAGAAGAAGAAGAAGAAGAAGAAGAAGAAGAAGAAGAAGAAGAGGAAGAGGAAGAGGAAGAGGAAGAGGAAGAGGAAGAAGAAGAAGAAGAAGAAGAAGAAGAAGAAGAAGAAGACAGCAGTACAGCTGAGCAAGGTGCTGCTGGGTTACACCTGTGCCAGCAGGCGGCTGCGACAAGGACTGGAGTGAAAAGATGGGCTGAGTCCAACCCAGGTAGTAATCATAACAGCTCACGGGGTTCTTGCGAGGATCACATCCTAATAACTAACATACACGGTGTTCTTACTGTGTAGCAGGACTACTCTCAGACCTTATGAGCAATGACTCATTTCATTTGTTGATAACACTCTAGGAGGAACGGATCATTCCTGTGCCATTTTACAGATGGGGAAGTTGAGCAATTGAAAGGTGCTGGCCCAAGGTCACAAGACTAATACGTTGTAGGACCAAGATTCAAATCCAGGCAGAAACACTCTGGAGACCATCGTGCTGTTCTACTTTGGAAATGAAAGCATGTATGCAAGCATGTTTTGCACATTGCTAGCTGTACATAAGTATCGGTTCCCACACGATAACTGCTTTTATTGGACAACATATTAACCCAGTGCCCATTTTCCAGTCACTGGGTGGCAAGACGGCTGCATTTTAGTGGAAAGAGGGTCCCTGGGAGGTCAGATGAGTGGCTGTGGTTGGAGAGGCAAAGACAACAGACAGCAAAGGGATGGGTGGTCTTACAGTGGGCTCCCCAGGCACAGGCAGAGGCTTCTAGGAGTGCTCTCGAGAGATACCTGTGTAGAAGGGTGGAAGACAGGATTGGGCCCACAATGAGTTACAGCAGAATAAGTGGGGAGCTCAGGGGCCAGATGACCCTTCACAGTTGTTCCGAACTGAGTGGTGTCCTGCATCATGCAGCCATTGGGCTCAGGGTGACCCTGGAAGGGGTGACCCCTTGGGTAAAGCAGCTCCGTGTGGGCCAGGGCCATCCATTCCCAGTACGGACAGAAGCCGGAGGGTGAGAGCACCGCCAAAGAGGGGATCTGGGCGAAGCACGCAGGCACCCGCCCAGGGCCCCAGGAACTGGGGGTGAGCACATGAAGAGGCTGGCTCTCTGCAGGGAAAATGGAAGACATGCTCAGAGCCCAAGAATGCTGCTGCTGCTCCTTGTTTGCACCTGGGGAGGAGAGCGAGCAGCTGAACGTTGCCAACAGAAGGCGTTTTGCTACTTAAGCAGCTTTGTCCCTTCCTCTACTCTGGGTGACAACCCAGGATCTTTGAAAAGAGCTTCTCCTAGTTCTGTTCTCAGCCCCTCGTTTTGTTCCTGAAAAGAAGAAAAATAAAATGTACTGAGGACTTGCTCTGTGCTGGGGCACCAGGCTAAGTATGTCAGGGGACCCCCTCGGCTTAAAGAGGTGCCAGGCCCTTGCTCTGCCTGGCCCGATGGAATCCCCCTTCTGGGTCTGACCGGTCGCAGGACTCACCTCCCACCCATGCCCTGGCCCTGCCTCCTCCCTCTGAGCTGTTCAGGAAAGCCACTGCCTGCCTGGGCTCTGCTTCCAGACTGCCCCCCCCCCCCCAGGGGAGGGCCCATGGCCAGCAATGTGGCTTCGCAGGTGGGAGGAGAAAAGGCCTGGCTTTCACCTCCTGGCACAACCACTGTCCAGCCAAATTTCCTCTTCCTCAAGCAAAAAAAAAAAAAAAAAAAGACACTCTTTAAAAATCACTGCCCTTATTGTAACAAAGCTTTAGCAGATCTAATTACAGGGCTCTCTGATCACTCTCCCTGTATTCCACCAGGAGCCCTCTGCGTTTGCCGTGATGGACGAGAGGAAGGGATTTTTAGGTGCGTCTGGGCGGGACTGCCCGAGAGGCAGGTCGTGATGCTGATTACTGTAAAAGGTCTCCCCAGCAATTTCAGACACACTCCGCATGTCTCCCCACGTAGCCCAGTCCCCCTTCCGTCCCTCTGCCTGCCCCTCCTCTCGAGCAGCTGGTCTGCATTTCATTACAGTCACTGGCCTTCTTGCCTCAAACAAGTGCTGAGATGGCTTCCGACCTCCCTGCTTGAAAACACTCAAATCTGGACGCCCTCGCCAAGGGTCCACAGAGCAGCGCCAAAAAGCCTCCAGCACCTAATCCCTCCTCCTTCAGAAGATTTTTCTTCAACTGGTGGTAGAGAGGCAGGCTGGAGAGGGGCCAATGATATTGCTCTGTCTTTTTGCCAAATGGTATTTTTATGTTGTAAAGCATCGTGGAATATTTAGCTACCCAACTCTTCCTAGCTGTGTGATGTTGAGTAAATTATTTAATCGCACTGAAGCTCAGATTTCTCCACTGTAAAAGGCAGTGCTAACAAATGTATTGAGTGCCTATTATGTGCCAGGTACCTTCCTAGCAGTGGAAATACAAAATAAACAAAACAGACAAAACCCCCTGTCCTAAGAGAACAGGGGTATTCTGGTAGGGAAGTTTTTTGCTCTTTTTAAAAATATTTTTTAATTGATTTTTTAGAGAGAGAGGAAGGGAGAGAGAGAGAAACATCGATGTGAGAGAAACATCTATCGGCTGCCTCCTGCACGCCCCCTACTGGGGATCAAGCCCACAACCCGGGCATGTGCCCTGACCAGGAATCGAACTGGGACCTCTCAGTCCACAGGATGATGCTCAATCCACTGAGCCACGCCAGCCGGGCGGGAAGTTGTTTTTATACATATTTTAATGTAGGAAAGACAGTGAATAAAATGAACAATATATTCAGCATGTTAGTAGTAAATACTAAGAAAAAGTAAAGCAGAGAAAGAATATGAAGTCT